GCGCACGGAGCCGGAGCCGGTGGTGGCGGGGACGGCGTGCCCGCCCCGCAGCAGGTGCTGTTCCCCCGCGAGCGGCTGCGGCTGCGCTGGGAGCGCGCGCGGCGCGCCGCCGCCGGGCTGCACAACCTGGGCAACAGCTGCTTCCTCAACGCCACGCTGCAGTGCCTGACGCACACGGCGCCGCTCGCCAACTACCTGCTGTCCCGCGAGCACGGCCGCGCCTGTGAGTGCCCGCGGCCGCGCGCCGCGGCGCCTGCCCGCTCCCCGTGCCGCTCGCTCCCCGGCGCCCGGAGCTCCCCGCACAGGGCTTGGGAAGGGCGGCACGGGCGCAGCCCCTTCCCCGGGCGCCCCGTCCCCAGCGCCGTCCCTCCGCCCCAGGTCAGCACGGCGGCTTCTGCATGATGTGCGTTATGCAGAACCACACGATCCAGGCGTTCGCCAACAGCGGCAACGCCATCAAGCCCGTCTCCTTCATCCGAGACCTCAAGAGTAAGGACGGGTTCCCTCCCCGCGTGGGCGCCGTGCGGCCGGTCCCGGAGCAGCCCGCTCCGTCCCGGGGCGGCGCCGAGCCCGCGTCCCACTCCCCCGTCCCACAGAGATCGCCCGGCACTTCCGCTTCGGCAGCCAGGAGGACGCGCACGAGTTCCTGCGCTACACCATCGACGCCATGCAGCGCGCCTGCCTCAGCGGCTGCGCCAGGTGGGCGCCGCGCGCCCGCTCCGGCACCGGCCCTGCCGCCCCCGGCCCTGCCGTTCCCGCTCCGGGGCGCTCGGCCGCCCTTGTCCCCGTGCCCCGGCGCGGCTGCGCCCGCATCCCCAGCGCTGGGGCCCTAACGGGTCTGAGTCCTCTCCCTAGCACCCAGTCGCATCTGCCGCCCGTTTGCCCCCGTTTTGTGGCTGCGGGCGCGCTGGGGAGCCGGTGTCTCCTCTGAGGTGGTCCCTGTCAGTGGTGCGGCTCTGCGGTCGCGGAGCTCGGTGGCTCACGCAGTGCTTCCCTTCCCAGGCTGGATCGCCAGACCCAGGCCACGACACTGGTTCACCAGATCTTCGGCGGCTACCTGCGCTCCCGCGGTGAGTGTGCGCTGTGCGGACCCGGCGTCATGCGCTGCAACTGCAGGGGCAGAGCCAAAGAGAAACCCGAGGGCCTTGCACCAAAGCAAACCCTCTGGGAAACTGCACAGCTCCTGTAAATTATCTGGAGCTGCAGCTCTCGTGGATCTGTCCTCTCTTGTGGCACCGCAAAAAGCCGTTGCCTGGGGGTCCCAGTGGGCTCGTTGTTGTCCTGTGGAAAGAGCAGCTCTCTTGTTCTCAGCATAAGACGGGACTTGTCAGTCCTTCCCTTGCCAGGCAGTGAATGCATGGCCAAGATTTCGGTGCTGGTACCCTGGGACCAAAACCTGGGAGACGGGGAACACTCCAGCTGCCTCCTCTTGGGGTGGGATAGGAGCAGAGCAGAGGAGATGGTGGAACAGATGCTGCGTGCTCATTGCTGTGTCCTTTGCAGTGAAATGCTCAGTGTGCAAGAGTGTCTCGGACACCTATGACCCCTACCTGGACCTGGCGCTGGAGATCAGGGTACGGCCGAGGCTCGGGAAGGGGAAGGGCTGCGCTCTTGCCGGGCTGGTGTCTGCAGCGGCGCTGCTGCCGCTCGCGGCTCCGAGCCCGCTGGTGCCGAGGAGGGGCAGGAGAGAAGCGGCGGCCGGGGCCGGCAGCCCCGCGCGCCCCCAGCGCTGCCCTGTCTCCGCAGCAAGCAGCGAACATCGTGCGAGCGCTGGAGCTGTTCGTGCGCTCGGACGTGCTGAGCGGCGAGAACGCCTACATGTGTGCCAGGTGAGTGCCCGGCGAGGGCTGCGAGCCCGACACACATGGGATACAGGAGCCTCCAGCTCCCTCCGCCGCTTGGGGAGAGGCTCAGGGGCAGCGAACGTGGCTGGGTGGGCAGGGGCCCTGGTGTCCCCACGGTCACTTCCATGGGGACGTGGCCCGGCCAAGGCCGGCAGTGACCTGCGTAGTGCACTGCACGAGCTCTTCCCGTGCAGGTGCAAGAAGAAGGTGCCAGCCAGCAAACGCTTCACCATTCACCGAGCGTCCAACGTCCTCACGCTCTCGCTGAAGCGCTTCGCCAACTTCAGCGGGGGCAAGATCACCAAGGTGAGCGCGGGGCTGTCCCCTGCTCCCCACACGGCCGTCCGGAGCGGGATGGGGGGACACAGCCCTGCACAGGCTCTGCCACGGGTCACCGTTTTCCACCAGCCCTGCTCTGGGGCTGCAGTGACCTGCAGTGGGATTATAGCTCATGGAACATCTTACTGTTGCCTTTTTGATCTGGGAAGAGGCTGGATCTCCCTCCCTGGGAAGATGGGACCTATAAGACAGTTGGAGCTGCTTCTGCTCTAGCAGGTAGCTTCTGTGCAGGCACTTGAGCTGTCCCATCTTTGCAGGACGTGGGGTACCCGGAGTTCCTGAACATCCGTCCTTACATGTCCCAGAACACCGGGGACCCCGTCATGTACAGCCTGTACGCGGTGCTGGTGCACTCGGGCTACAGCTGCCACGCGGGACACTACTACTGCTACGTGAAGGTGAGGCCGGGGGCTGCTGGGCGCTGTGGGTGCTGGGCGCGCGGCAGGGCGCGGAGCTGCAGGGAGCGGGGTCACCTGCTGCCCGTGCTCCTGGTCCCCCTTGGCTGCCCGGGCTGTGCAGAGGGGCTCTGAATGAAGGGGGCGATGTTCCTGGAGGTCCCCGCTGCCCTGCAGAGCCGCAGCGTGCCTGCACCGAGCCCAACCGCGTGCTGCTCTCCCTCCTCAGGCCGGTAACGGGCAGTGGTACCAAATGAACGACTCCCTGGTCCATTCCAGCAACATCAAGGTGGTGCTCAACCAGCAGGCCTATGTGCTGTTCTACCTGAGGTGAGCGGGGCCCTCAGCCTCCGTTTCCCCTCTGCTCAAGTCCTCCCAGTAAACATGGGCGTTTCTTGCTTCCCCAGGATCCCCAGTGCCAAGAAGAGCCCCGAGGGGCCCATTGCCAAGGCTGCCCCCAGCCTGCCCGGCCACGCCGGTGCTGCCTCTGATCACGTCAAGAACACCGTGAGCAATGGGCCCGCGTCTTCCCCGCTCATGGCGCGGGTGAGTCCTAAAGCTGCTCTTGGCCAAGAGCATCCCGATCGCTGCTCGCCGAGGGCAGATGGGCGGCAGCATCGTGACGGGAGATGCGTTGCGCCGGTGGGAAGGGTCCCTTCCCAGCGGATCATGGGGAAGAGGGTAGAGCGCGTGTCCGTGTCCTGTCCTCTCCTACATGAGCCTCTCTCCTTGCACAGAGACCGGACGCGCTGCAGGGGAGGAAGCTGCAGGGACCGGAGGAGATGGGCGTCCCGGTGGCGCGGAGCGCGCTGGGCGCCGTGCCGAAGCTGCAGAACGGAACCGCCCAGCCCAGGCCGCCTGCCGGGGCCCCTTCGCCCCACGCGGCCCCCAAAGCCACCCACGCAGCAGCAGCACCCGCGGGTGACGCAGCCTGCAGGCCCAAGAAGCCGCTCGCCAGCCCGCAGCAGCCTCCTGCAGCCCGGGCCAGCCAGGGCCTCTCCAACGGCAGCCACGGCGGTGGGGCCAAAGCGGAATTGCCCTGGCAGGGCTCCTGGGAGCGCAAGGAGCCGCCTACCTCGCCCAGGCCGCTGCCCGTGGCCGTGCCCGGCCCGGAGCCCCGCGGCACCGCCGAGAGCCCCGGCGCCACGGAGAGGGGCTCCGGCAGCAGCCGCAGCGCCAGCCCAGCGCACAGCAAAGCCCCAGAGCTGGCCAGGAAGGCCAAGAACGGAGCCAGCGGCCTCTGCACCTCTCAGGAAACGGACTATGGTGCAGACCTCGCTGCTGACCGTGGCGCCGAGCCGGCGGGCGCCCAAGACTCCAAGCTGGGCAAGCTGAAATCCTCTTTACTGGGCAGCGCGACTGTGGAGCTGAGCAGCACCATGTCACCGCCCCCGGCCAAGAAACTGGCGCTCTCTGCCAAAAAGGTGGGTCTGGGCTGCTGTCCTGACACATCGCAGGGCTCGTCGCGTGTCTGGGGCGCGCGGTGCTGCTGCTGGGGGTCTGGCTGTGCCATGACGGGCCGGGAGAGTCCCTGCACCGTGGGGTGGTGGCACTTGTGCCCTCCCTGCAGAAGGGCAGCCTGTGGGCGCAGGACACAGGCGCCCTCCCTGCTGTCCCCTGCGCGGGTCGCAGGACGAGCGCTCTCGCTGCCCTGCGTGGACTCGGTGTTTGCTGAGCCAGGCCCTGCACTGGCCAGGGCAGTGTCCGCTTTGGGGTAGCGCCGGCCAGAGCAGCCGTGCGGGCCCCGTCCCGGGGTGCGCGGGAATGGGGGGCTGGAGCGGGGCAGGGCCGCGCCGCTGCTCTAGCGCAGCCGGGCGCACAGGGGGTCCTGCCCACGGGTGGCACTGGCCTGCGGGCGCTGCCCTGGGTTGTGCTCAGGGGCTTCTGCACTTTAAACTTCCTTCCTGCCTTTTTTCCTTTGTGCTTCTAACTGAAAACACTTCTGATTCTTCTTCTACCACCCCCACTTTCCTCTCCCCGTCTGTGTCTGTTCCCCTCCCCGTTCTCTGGGCTCCCCTTTTTATTTTCTCCTCTTGGCTCACGGAAACCTCTTCCTTTAGACCACCAAGTTTTTATTTATGTCGATAACTGCAGGGCAGCACCCCGCGGAGGGCGAGCGCCAGTGACGGCCGCGCACAGCCCCACGCACGCCCCGCTGCGCACTCGTCCCCCACGAGCACCCACCCCGACTTCTCCTCCTCCTCCTCCCCCTGGCCGTGCGGCGGCTCCAGGTAAGCGGCGCAAGCAGCCGCCGGGAGAGACGCGGGAGGCAGCTCTGCCCCCGCAGGCCGGGTTTGGGCCGCCCTGGGGCGGCGCAGTCGCTGTGGATGGGGACACGGCGTGGGGAGGGGTCCTGCCGGGGCCTCAGCCCTCCTCGTGCTGCACGGCAGCCGCAGCCCATCCTGCACACGGGTCCTGCTGGCCACCCATCCATGTCACACGGCTGGACACGGGTCCTGCTGGCCTCACGTCTGTGTCACACGGGTCCTGCTGGCCGCCCGTCCGTGTCACACGGCTGGACACGGGTCCTGCTGGCCTCACGTCTGTGTCACACGTCAGGGCACAGCCTGGGCAGCTCCCCAGGGAGCCACGCGCTGGGCAGCCCCCGCTCCTGCCCTGCCCTTGCTGGGCTGCAGCCGCCCTTGTGCCTCGCCAGCCGGGTGTGGGACCATGGGCAGCGCAGAGCTGCTGACCCGAGAGCCGCTGTTGGTTCCTTGGCTCCCTGGCTGCGCCGGCACTGTCGGGGCGCTGCGCTCGCACCCCGCACGGTGGGGACCAAGAACGGGGACTCCCCCCTGTTCTGCTTTCGGGTCACGCAGCCTCTTCTCCCGCCCTGCAGGCCACCCTCATCCGCGCTCAAGCCGCCCAGCCCCGCGCTCAGCCCGGCCCCCCGGGCCAGCCCCCTGCCCCATGGCACTGCTGCCCGCTCCCCGCAGCGGCTCCCTGGCACCGGGGCACAGGCGCCCGCCCCGCTCTCCAAGAAGAAGCAGCGCAGGCAGCACTGGGAACAGGGGGGGCCCTGCGCCCTGGCCGTGAACGGCAAGGATGAGCTCGGCAGCCCCCCCAGGAAGAGGAAGACCCCAGCTCCAGAGGGCATGGGGTGCCCTGCCAGGAAGGGGACAGTGGCCGGAGAGCCCAGCGGTGGCAGCAAGGGGCTGGGCGGCCGGGATGCCGAGAGCCGGGCCACGTCGCCAGCCCCGGAGCCCAGCACCAAGTCCGTGTCCCCGCTCAAGAGGAAGAAGAAGAGGAGGAGGATGCAGGAGGCCGCGGGGCAGCCCTCGGGCAGGTAGGGGCCAGCTGGGTGCCACCCAGGGGAGGTGACGCTGCCGCCGAGCTCGAGCTCTGCTCTGGCCAGGCCGTGTTTGAAGCCCTGTGTCTTCTGCAGCCCCGCGAGAGCTGAAGCGGAGCCCATGCAGGCCAAGCAGCCGCCGGGCGCGGAGCCCGGCGCCGCCGAGAGCGAGCACCGCAAGCGCAAGCGGAGGGAAGGCCCCGGCAGCCCGGGCACGGAGCAGCCCCCCGCGCACGGCTCCCGCGCCGGGGACGGTGCCGCAGGTACAAAGCAGCCCAGGCCCCCCCTGCACGGAGCCAGGATCCCCCTGCCCACCCCAACATCCCCGCCACTCTTCAAGCCCTGCGTGCCTGTGGCCTCGCAGGCTCTGCTGCAGCCCGGGGTGCCCCTCTCCAAACCCCTGGTCATGGCCCCTCTGCAGGGCTGGACAGCAGTCCCAGTGCCACCCTGGACACGTCAGTTTGCCAGCCCTGCTGCTACTGCCCTAGGCTGGGGGCTCACAGGGACCTTCCTGTGTCCCGGGATGAGATCCGTCCTGTGGAATGCGCAGTGTTGGATACCCTTGTGCTCCCTGCAGCCTGTGCCGCCGTCCCCGCGGTGGCAGCATGCGGCAGGGATGGCCAGTCCCGAGCTGGGTCCCAGCGCGGCCGGGAGGAGCCCAGCGTGGTGCAGGAGCTGCTCCGGGACTCCTTGGACAAGGCGTACGGGAAGCAAGGTGAGCTGGTGGCAGCGCCAACAAGGAGGGCTCCTGAGCTGCCCGGAGCAGGGAAGCGGATGGGAGCCGGGCAGGGGCTCCCAGGGAAGCCGGGGTGTCCGAGGGCCGGGCTGGGAGTGGGTCCCGCTCACGGGCCGGTGCCGCGGGGCACGGAGGAGCCCGGCTCTGCGCTCACCGCTGCCCTCCGCGCCGCAGTTCTGACCTGGGACGGAGAGATCTCGGCCGTGAGCCAGGACGCTGTGCGCGACGCGACCTGGGCCCGCAGCGCCACCGTCATCGACGAGTGGGACGAGGAGTTTGACCGGGGCAAGGTGAGTGCAGGCAGGGAGGTAGCGGGGCTGCAGCCCCCGCTGTCTGCTCACCCTGAGCCTCCCCCTGCCTCCCGCAGGTGAAGAAGTGCAAGAAGCCGAAGCGGGAGCGGAGGAGACACTTCAACCCCTTCCAGCAGCTGCAGAGCAAGCGCAACTTCTGGTCGGGGACGCACCCTGCCAAGGTGGCCAGCCTGAGCTACCGGCTCTAGGGTGAGCAGGGGCAGGGGTCCCCGCGGCGCAGGGTCTGCGCCGTCCCRCTGCTCACGCTGCTCTCCCTGCAGGGCCTGGCTGCAGCCCGCAGCGCAGGGAGCGCTCCTGGATCGAGGATCGTGGCAGGGCCGCCCTCCCCACAGCGTCCAGCGAGGAGGGGAGCAGAGGGGCCCTGCTCTTCAGCTTCCCCCGGGAAGGTGCCACTTGTCCGGGCTGCCCCCAACCTCCCTCCTGGGGCTCCGAGCCGGGGGTTGAGGTGCTGGAAGCCTCTTGTGCTCCCTGCTCCGGGCGCTGCTCCCGGGCTCAGGCTGCTCCCTGGCCCCAGGGCCAGAGTGCCTTGGGCTCTAGGGCTGCTGAGCCTGGTCCTTCCTCAGTGCCTGGGGCTGCTGCCCCCTCTCCCCCTGCCCTCCGCTGGCCCTCCGTGCCTAGGCTGGCCCCCCTGCTCTGTCTCCACGGCTGGGAGGGGGCCTAGGGCTTTGTGTGGGGGTTCCCCCAGCGCAGGGCTCCTGGCAGGGTATGGGCTGCAGCCCCTGGCCCCCGTGCCGTGGGCTCTGCCCCTGCTCCCTGCTGCCCTGGCTGGCACAGGGATCAGGCTCTGCTGCCCTTTCTGCCCAGGGCCCCTTCCCCTTGTCCTGTGGGGATGGACACAGGGACAGGGGCTGGCTGGGGTGGTGCTGCCACCGGTCCCAGTGCTGCCATCGGGGCTCAGGGCCAACCCCCCGTCCCATCCCCTCTACCTCTCGGTGCCACCAGCCCTGGGGTGCCGTGGGGACGGGGTGGGGGGCGTGCAGGGCTGTCACCCTGCGCGGGGGCAGCGGGGCCCCGCGCTGCCGCCCCCGCTTTCCGCCGCGGTGCAATAAACGCAACGAGTTTGAACGGAGCCTCCGTGGGGACGGGATGAGACGGGACGGGGACGGGATGAGACGGGACGGGGACGGGATGAGACGGGACGGGGACGGGGCGGGGGGAG